GCACGAATCACGAAGGAGGGTCGTGAAGCCAAAAATCCGGCAGCTTAACCGCCACAGCAAAAATTCAAATGTACAGCTCTGCTATCACTTCCGACATAAATGAAGACAGAAAACTAAACAGCAGTGGCGTTTGTAGGGTTGCTGAAGTTTGGCTAGCTGGTATATAATGATGTGCTAGTAGGGCTGCCACAAACGATTATTTTGATAGTCGACTAGTCACCGATTATTTTTGCAATTAGTCGACTAATCAGATCATGCATCCATTGGATGTAAAACGTACAGCTTATTGCACCAGCATGCATCTACTCTTATATAACTATCATTAGCTTACAGCTGGTATGTTTAAGGTATGTGCTAACTAAAAATAAAGGCAAGATGATAGTTTATTAAATTTTATTGAAATTTGCAGATTGTTTCAGTGAAGTTTAATAAACTCCTTGCTATCTAAAATATAACGAGACACCGGAGTATATTCTTGAGCATCTCACACTTCTGATAATCAGTTGTCTTCTTGACGTTTATTCAGCTGTGTAAAAACGATAACTTTAATCTCAGCCAAACCGATTTACTCAGGAATAAATAAAATACTAAAAAAAAGGCCAACAATAAAATTTTTAAGTTATCTAAGTGACTTATATATGTTTAACCTGAGTAGCAAAAGACGGCGGTGGGTTTAAAAACGATTTGCCGGGAGTCTGGTGTTCTCACCGGCTCTAGTGAGCTTTGCCCCCGGCTAGCTATCAAGCTAGTGGGTAACAGACGTCGGAGCGCTTTTAAAAATATGTGTTGTCTTGATAAACTGAGCAGATATTTGAGGTTTACACAGCTACATTCTCGCCTGAAAATATCTTAAACGTTTATTTTGTGACCCAGAAAGAATAATAAGAGTAATATTAAAACTAACTAGCTGCTGCCATTGTTGGAAACTGAGCTGGGCTGCGCTATGAATTCTGGGACACAGCTTCTTCTTCGGGGCTTTACGGCAGCTGGCATCCTTGTACATGCAGTGCTGCCATCTTCTGTTTCAGTCCGTTATTACACTCTTAAATCCTACTACTTATTCCTGCGTCTTTTGTGATCTTACAAAGCGTCAAACAACGCGTCGACTATTAAATCAGTCGTGACTAGTCGACTAATCGTGGCAGCCCTAGTGGCTAGCTACACCGCTATGGTTAGCATAATATAAACAGAGTGAAGCTGGAGGATGAACTCTTAACTTTTTTCCACTTAATAAAAGTTAACGTGAGGGTTCCCGAAGGTTAGGGAGAAATGCAATCGCATGGCAGGATGATGTAAACGGACCAAACTTCAGTCCGGAAAACAACTGCAATATAAGGTTAGTCATTAATATACTGCTGCATGGGTGTAGTTACATCATAAGGTTTTAAAAACTGAGCTTTAAAATGAATAGTGATAATAAAAACCGAGAGAGGCCGACAGTGATCACTGCCTTTTTTAGGGGCTTGTTCAGATTATATAAAAAAAAGATACAAAGCATTAAAACATGTTAAAAACACAACAGCCTTAATAAACGCAGAGTAGTTTGGACCTGGAAAAAGGTTTCATCAGGTCATCACTTAAAGATCGGATATCTCACCTGCTGTGAATCTTTTAATGCAGTACAGTTGTTATTATTATCACTTGTCACATCCTGTTTATGACAGTTAAAATAAATAACATTCATATAAGAAATAAAATTGTCTCGTGTAAACTGTATGTGGCGTTAAACAGGTCTATACTTCTGTACTTCAATGTTGGTCATAACGTGGTACTTCACGAGCCATATTTTTTATGAGGGGGTACTCACTGCGAACAGTTTGAGAACCCCTGATATAGCAAATACAAAGAAATTCTGGCTATGTTGAACAAATTGTTTTAACCTTTGCTGAAATTGGCACTGGCCCCTCTATCCAGAAGCAGTTTGGCCAGGTCATAGTTGGCCACGCTGACAGCACACATAAGTGGAGTCCATTCAAATCCAAGCCTGGTCTCCACATCCACACCTGTCCACAAAAAGCCACAGCAAGCAAGACAATCAAAATAAATTTTATATGGATTAATAGCAACGTTAAACAAAAAATCATATATAATTGAAGAATTGTTAGAGCATTAATGCATTATTTAGAGACAACTATAATGTGTGATACAAAAAAAATGAAGTGCTTGCCATTGTCCAACAGCTGTTTAACAGTGTCTGTGTCTCCGTTACTGATAGCTTTTTTCAAAGCTGACACACTATCTTCTCCTTGTTGTTGAACAGCATCCAGCTCCTGTAAAAATATGGAACAACCATAATCAATAAAAACTGATTCCTTCATATAAAATTTTTTTTAGTGCTTCCAAAAGAGTTTGTGGCCTTGCACCAAAGGAAAATCAAAAAGAATATAGTAATGTGTATGTGTGTATATTGTTTTTTCCTTCCTTCATGTTTTAAAGTTAGGTTACAAAGTCTCTTCTGACTCATCGGGATAATCGTAATGCATAATCAATTCAGATGACCCATTTTAAGCAATGAAAAATCTCAATTTATGTTAACGGCATTGTGTACATGTAAAAAAGTCATTATTAATAACAGTCTTTGCTTTACTCAATGTGTTTAGCTACTGTATTTATCTATTATAGAGAACTACTAGATATAAAGCTGTGATGCTCAATATTTCATTTTGACTTATTTAACTTTCATTTTTGTAACCTTATTTAGCCATTTTTGTATATTCTGCTTTCTTGGGCTACTCTACTTTATTTCAGCCATTTGTCTTCTAGAGATGGTACTTTTTTCAGCAACTGTAAGTGTATGTGAAAAGGCTCTGTAACACCTGTCACGTATGTCTGTGGGTGCCCTGTTGACTGCTGACACACAGTGTGTGTGAACCTCAAGTTTTATTATTTTTTAGCAAATGTAGCGATTTTTATATGGCTCAAAATGGTAAGTGCATCCATTTCCTGCTATTTTTTTAATCCATTTGACTAAAAACACTTACCCCTGTGTAACTTAAACCAGCTGGTAATTAGCATTTATCCTATATTTATGCATGTAGGAACCCTGCCCAAGTTACAGCCATGTTCATTTTTAAGCAGCCTCTGAACAGCAATTCAAGAACACCAAGGGTGAGAAAGAGCGGCAGTTGCACAAACTCCTGAAACTGAACTCTTAACAATAATTAAAGAAAACAGCAAATTGGTTTTCTTTGTATGTTAAATTAGCTTTCTACTACAGTAAATAAAATAAATAAAAAACAAGAAGAAAGAAAGAACATATGAGGTTCGTTAAGTTAGCTCATGTTAGACACAGAGGTTGCAGCTGTTGCTAGTTAATGCTATCACTAGCAGCATAAAGGCAAATGAGAAAAGATGGAGGGCGCTGGTGTTGAGAACCTTAATGCAACCAGAGGTTTTATCCGAATAAGGCGAGATGTGCCACTCAGCTTCGCTGCCGTCGCTTTCTTCTCCAGCCGCAAAGGCATAATCCATGAAGTTCGCCATGATTTAGCGCAATAGCTCGCTAAGCGTCGGTCAGAGTGGACTCTACAGGTCACACTGGAGAGACGTTTGAGGCTGCGCACCATGGCGACCCGGTGTTGGGCGGAGTTTGACACCAAGCCAATTTAAAGAGTCCTGTTCTAGTTTAATAGGAAAATACAAATAACATAACAGTACAGTGTTTTCATAAAGTTACGCTGTACACGGAATTAAAATTGTGTCTTAAAACAGGAATTTTTGTTGTTGCTACAAGGCCTTGTTTTTGTCCTGTCTCCCGCCCTCATCCCTGTTTGTGACAAATGGCTTTTCCTCCCTGAGCCTGCTTCTGTCTGAGGTTTCCTGTTAAAACGGAGTTTTTCCTTTCCACTATCACCACGTGTTTGCGCCTACAGGTCATCCCATTGTTGGGATTTTCTCTGTATTATTATAGGGTCTTTATCTTACAATATAAAGAACTGTTATTGTCATTTGGTGCTGTATAAATAAATACAACTGAATTAAATTAAAACAGGTGTGAACCTCGGCTCTTTTATCTAATCTGCATCAAGGTAGAATTTATTGACAACAGCTGCAAGGGACAGTTATTGTCCAGAAGAGGTCACTCTTTCTTCAGTGCAAGTCAACACCGGTTGTAGCCAACTGCAAGCATCTAACAGTGCATCTCTCTGTATTTTTCCTCAGGTCCCCTTACTATCTTTTATATTTTCTATCCCGCTCTGGCTTACAAATCACACTGAAACAAGCTATAACTAAGCACCCTTTTTCTGATTTACTTACTTCTTTTCATATTGAATTTTCACATTGCTCTTCCCCGTGGTCTTTCTCACACCCTGGTTTGTTGTTTTCAGTTATATGATTATGGCTCATGGACATCAATGCCAGCATCGTTTTCTGTACGGAGTTTTGGAGCAGTGTTTCTACTTGAAACATGAAACGAATCCTTCACTTTCGAACAATTCTTTGCTTCTTTGTTCCAAACACAAACTCCACTAATATTTTCTCCCCTTTAAACCAGATTACCTGTCAGCACGGCTATTTCAACAAGTGATCTAATACCACACTTTATCTCTGTTCCCTTCAGGAATGTCTAGGTTTTAACCCTCCCTAAAGTGAAACGGTGCTTAACCTTTTTTTAAAGAAAAAAGTTCGTCGAAATATGTAGGAACTGTACCAGCTATTAAATAAAATGCCACAGCTTGACTATCAGAGGCAGCTTGGTAGACCTGCAGCAGCAGGACTAACCTGACTGTAAAACCTGTTCATTCGGCGGTTTTTATTATGTTATTTATGCTTCAACAAGACGTTTAAATGTTAGGTTTTCACGTTAAAACCCTAACTGTTTGTTATTTCTACTCTTCTTTTCTCTCCAAATTACCTTTTAACTGAGTGTAATTGAAGTCAGGATAATTCACATTTTGTGAGTTCTGCACTCCGGTCACCTCCCACATCTTTTCTGATCAACTAACTTGTGCCTCTTGAGTTTGGTGCCACAATATTACCCTGAAGCCAGTCGGCGTGGAAATGACGTTTCGGTTGTTGGCGAGCCCATAAAGGATAGACTGTCCTCTCCCTGTCACAGAGTGAGAGGGAGATAAAAGAGAGAGAGTGAGTGAAAGGAAGGTAGTCGAAGCGGACTGTGACTTGCATCAGAAAATAAAACTAGGAAAACGCACAAGAAGACATTGAGTTTTAGCAAGTGGAGGAATAAATAAAAAAAAACCTAGGGAAGCGCGCAAAGTGACAGAAGAGGTACAGTTTTTTTGTTTTTTTCCACCCTTTTGGGACACCAAGATGACTGCATAGCGACGATACATTCAGAGCAGATACGAAGTGGAGAGTAAAGCGGACGAGCATCCCCTCGGAGCCACGCGGGGGACACTCAGGTGCAGGGAACTCAAACTGGCGGCGCTCTTAGAATGCAGAAGTCACCAGTAGAAGATGCGAACTTCTTCTCCAAATTTTTCTTCTGGTAAGCAATGTTTGGTCTACAGCCTTGGCTCCAGGTCCAGGGCCAGGTGCACACGCAGCTTGTCTGTTGTAAAGTGAAATTAAAGTTATACGGTGTAAAGTAAATAAAGAAATGTCAGAAGGCAATTACTGCAGGGTTCTATTCAGTTGGTAAGTGAGACGCGTTTTTCTTCACACATCTGCAGAAATCACGTGCGTAAAATACAGAGTTGTGCTCCGATGTAGTATGTTCTAGAAAGCGTTGGCAGTTGCACTTAAGCTACTGATGATTTAAAATTTGTGTAACGTGCTAGGAATTGTCATAATTCACTTTTTTGTATGGATTAAATGGTTCTTTCTTTGTTAATATTGTAGCCTAATAAAGTGGCGCCGACGCCCCACTTACTCCAATTAGAGATCCCAAACAGACAAATAATCCTAAAACCTACATGGTGTATCTGGACGAGACACCCTGTGATTCATTCACAGATACTAGCAAATATTTCTCTCAGTACTCTGTCATTAGTCTGACTATGAAACCAAAGGCTTATCATCTAACCACGAAGAAACAATTATATTTCCATGTAATTTAAAAAGATTAATTACAAATGTGTGTGTGTGTGTGTGTGTGTGTGTGTGTGTGTGTGTGTGTGTGTGTGTGTGTGTGTGTGTG